TGGTCGATTCCACATTTTCGAGCGAGAGGGGGGAGGGGGGTTTGTTTGGGGACACTCTCGGCCAAATGAGTGGCCAAACCTGACAACATTGGTCTGGGTTGACAACCCTAACTAATTTGGCCTTAACTTGTATTAGCCGGGGTTGCTAACCCTCCCGCAATTAGAATTGAGTTCTAATTGGTCGGCATTGTCAACCCCGACTAATTAAGATATGGTTTTTTTTAATCAATCCAGTTTAACGATGAATAGACCGGAACGTAAATAAAACTGGAATGAATCGTTATTTGTGAATAAAGTTAGGAATGGGTCTGCTTTGAAAATTTTTGCCCCCTTTTAATGTCCTGATCCTCAAATAAAACCCATTCCCGTCGTGAGTCGGGGCGAGCGAAAAGGCCCCAGAGATGTCGACTTTATCAGCGGCCTTTCTCACTCTCCCTCCCACTGTCACTCACCCAAAAACATCAAGGTTTAGGCCCTCGCCCTCGCTCTCTTCTCGTCCCAAATCCAAGAACAGAACTGGGTCTCTTTGGCTCCGCTGCGACGCTCAGTTAGTCGCCGATGTCGCTCCCGTCGCTTCTGCTGCCTACGGCACACTCTTACTCGGCGGCGGACTCTTCGCCTGTAACAAATTTTCATATGTCTCCCTTATCTTTTATTTAGTTTTTTGTTTGAATTTTATTGGGGGGATTTTGTTTTTGGTTTCTGTAGATGCGAGATCTGGGAGCAAAGGGTCGATTCTTGGAGGTCTTTCCGGTGCCGCCTCCATGGCTGCTGTAAGTGGTTTTTTTTGGGGTTGCATATTCACTCCTCTTAATTTTTTTGCACTATTTCATGTGCTGCCAGTGCTGGTAACCACCTTATTTGGTAGGCGCTTTTAAAAAAATTACTTGCTATCAAACAAAGGAAAAGCTACTCTGTTCATCAGTTCATGCCGCTACAAAGAATGTTAAAGACAGGAAGTTAGGAAGTGTATATTGTTATAACTTGGAAAAATTCGTCAGTCTTTTTAGTTTTCCGTCGTCTCTGTGTTCATACCCGAAACATTCTCTGTCTTCTTATTTGGCTAAATACCAAATTGGTATTTTTATATGAACCATTTTGCCAGTTTAGTATTTTTAGAAACTCCGGCGACGATAAGACATTTAATCTCGTCCTTTTTGTCAATAAGACATTTTTCTTAAAATTCCGGTGAGAAAATTTGCTTTTAACCCCCTTATCTCCTAAATTTATTAAATTTATACTCTCCCTCTCCTCCTCCTCCTCCTCCTCCTCTCCCATTCCCCTCTCCCTCCAGCGCACTATTGTCCTCTTCCTCTTCTCCGTCCCCATCTCCCTCCTCTAGGTCAATCTCGGCCCCCTCGTCCCCTCCCTCTCCTCCTCTTCCTCCTCTCCCATTCCCCTCTCCTCCCTCTCCTACTACTACTACGAAGGGTTCGGGCCGTGGAGAGGAAAGAGGCGAGGCAGACCGATATTATCAGCTGGTAGTAGCGTCATCGCACTCGATTCGTGCGGTGGCAATGTTAAGGTGAAGGAAGATAGTAGCAACAGCAAGGAGAGCACAGTAATGATGATGATGGTACCGTTGCGGGTGACGATGAGTATGACCTCGATCACTTCGAGGAATTAGATGATCGTCGCGGTAATCGCACTGCGCCTTATAAAGAGCATGAGGGCACCTATAATGTTGTTGCGAAAAAAGAGGGGTTAGTGAAGAAAAGATTGGCCAAGAAGCTAGGTAGGAAGCCTTTTAATTGTCGCTCTCTCAAGTCCCTTCTCTGATTAATTCCTTCTCATTTTGTTAGCCATTGTATTGGTACACTGTAGTAAATTGGGGATAATTTGCTTATTTGGCTACCACTTTCCAAATTAATTAGGGTGTGGAAATTTTGTTCTTCAATTTTCACTATGCTGTCATTTTCAGGTCCTAATATATCACTGTATATGCGGATGGTCTTTTATTTATAATTTAATGGATCAACCAATGATACAAATGTTTTGACATTTGATCTCTCGTCCCCATTTGTTATATCAATAAATCAATTACTTCTCTAAATTGCAGGGTTATTAGGCAACACTGGTAATTTTTTCTTGGTAGTTGATCCGTTTCAGAATCTACTACACAGCTTAATAGAATCTTTGCTCTAATTCAAAAATGCACTATATGCCAAACTTATCAAATTTGGATGAGGAGGAGAGGGAGGAGAGGGGAATGGGGGGAGGAGGAGGAGGAGAGGGAGGGGATGAGGAGGGGGGCGAGGTTGACCTAGAGGAGGGAGATGGGGACGGAGGAGAGGAGGAGGAGGACGATGGTGCGCTGGAGGGAGAGGGGAATGTGAGAGGAGGAGGAGGAGGAGGAGGAGGAGAAGAGAGAGGGTATAAATTTAATAAATTTGGGAGATAAGGGGGTTAATAGCAAATTTTCTCCCCGGAATTTTGAGAAAAATGTCTTATTGATAAAAAAGACGAGATTAAATGCCTTATCATCGCTGGAGTTTTTAAAAATACCAAACTGGCAAAATGGTTCGTATAAAAATACCAATTTGGTATTTTAGCCCTTCTTATTTACCTTGGAAATTGTCATAATTCCATTTTCACAACTCTAATCATATGAGCTGGGAGAAAACCCCCCTTGAATTTTGTTAGTCATTTCAAATAATATTCTGGGAATATTTCCTGGATATCATGGAAATATTTCCTGGATATCCTGGAAATATTCCATATTATATATGAAATTAGTGGATATTCCTGGTATATTCTCTCAATTAAAGGAGTGGTTAATGAGACTGGGTTTCAGTGGCAGAGTTGTAGAGTATTAGTATTCAATGTAAACACTAAATCTTTAAACTAGATGCAAATCGCTAGCTTATTGAATGAATGTCTTGGCTAATAAATAGCTTACAAAGATAACAAACTTAGCTACAAGTGAGCTAACAGAAAGACTGAATCAAAACCTTAACTAAACCCTACAGATTAGGGTTGTTATTGAAGGGATAAAAACTACTTCCTGAAAACTAGGTCAAACATCCCTTCATACTCTTTCTTAAGCTAAACTTAGTGAAACAATTTAGCTTAACTGGTTGACATCTCACATCCCCATTAGACTTCGAAGATGAACAAATGCCTCTGTCTTGAGTGGCTTAGTCATAATAATTGCAACCTGGTCTGCACTTCCAGAATGATTCAAAACAACGGTGCCTTCTTTAGTCAGTTCCCTGAGAAAGTGGTATCTTACACGTATGTGCTTGCGTCGTCCATGAGGAACTGGATTTCTTGAAAGCTTGATTGTGGAGGTGTTGTCACACTTGATTGTGGTGCACTCTTCATCTTCATGTCCCAGCTCCTTTAAGATTATTGTCAACCAAATAGCCTAGCATGCACAAGTTGCAACTGCTATGAACTCGGCCTCAATAGTAGATAGAGTCACAATGGACTGTTTTTTCGAACTCCATGAAACAGCTCCCGAACTTAGCATAAACACATAACCACTCGTGCTCTTACTGTCTTCAACATCTCCAGCATAGTCAAGCTCCCGAACTTAGCATAAACACATAACCACTCGTGCTCTTACTGTCTTCAACATCTCCAGCATAGTCACTGTCAGTAAAGGCCAATAACTTGTTAACCACTCGTGCTCTTACTGTCTTCAACATCTCCAGCATAGTCACTGTCAGTAAAGGCCAATAACTTGTTTTCTCCATGCTTGTAGTACACCCCATAGCCCACAGTACCCTTCAGATATCTCAAGGCCCTCTTAGCAACCTGTAAATGCATCTCGGTTGGCTTTGCCATAAACCTGCTTAAAAGACTAGTCACAAACATTAAGTCAGGCCTTGTTGATGTTAGATATATCAAGCTACCAATGAGTTGCTTGAAGTGTGTTTCATCAACTGTCACGTCATGTGTGTCTTTCTCAACCTTTGCTCCTGGAACAATCGGAATGCTCACTATTTTACTATCTGCCATCCCAAACCTTTTCAAAACTTCTAAAGCATACCTCCTTTGATAGATGAAGATACCTTCTGACCCTTGTATCACCTTAATGCTAAGAAAATAACTCATGCTCCCCATATCAGTCATATCAAGTTCTCTCATCATAGACAACTTGAAATCATTTAACAATGAAACACTATCACCAGTGAAAATCAAGTCATCATTCTCTCATCATAGACAACTTGAAATCATTTAACAATGAAACACTATCACCAGTGAAAATCAAGTCATCAACATAAACACTTACAATGACAATGTTCATTTAACAATGAAACACTATCACCAGTGAAAATCAAGTCATCAACATAAACACTTACAATGACAATGCTGTCTCACCATTTCGTTTAGTGAACAAAGTTTGTTCACTTGGACACCTTTGAAACCCTTCTCGGACAAAATAGGCTTCAATCCGTCTGAACCAGGCTCGAGGAGCTTGCTTTAGGCCATACAAAGCCTTGTGTAGTTGATAGACCATATGCTCACTGCCCTTCACTTCATACCCCTTTGGCTGCTCAACAAATACCCTCTCAGTCAGTTTTCCATGAAATAATGTTGATTTCACGTCGAACTTGAAGATCTTCCACTTCATTTGGGCTGCTAAAGCAATGATGGTGCGCACTATATCCAACCTTGCCACTGGTGCAAAAACCTCAGAGTAATCGATCCCTTGCCTCTGTGAGTATCCCTTAGCCACTAACCGAGCTTTGTATTTGATCACTTTCCCTTGTTCATCCCTCTTGGTCTTGTAAATCCACTTCACTCCCACTTTCTTAGCTCCACTAGGTAATTCGTTGAGTATCCAAGTTTTATTGTTCTCAATGGAATTGGTCTCATTGTCCATTGCTTGCCTCCATTTTTCTTCCCTCACTGCATCTTCAAACAACACTGGATCATCTGGTTCATTATCTTGTAGTAGTGAGACTTACATCATGTAAGCAACTTCTTCTTCTCCATCTGTGCTTAAGCCTTCACCACTAACATAATCCCCCATCCATATAGGAGCTCTTCTCTCCCTGCCTTGAGCCTCTACTCTCACTATACTACCCTCTTCATTCCCTTCATTATTTTCTCCACCACTATCAGACTCCATGTCTACTCCATCACCTACATCAAACCCTTCTTCATTGTTTCCTACTTCTCTACCCTCTCCCTCACTTTCATCATCACTATAATCATCATCACCTCATACTAATTCAGCTCTTATTTGTTCTTCATAATTCTTTCCCCAATCCCAACTTCTTTCTTCTTCAAATATAACATCCTTACTTACTACAATTTTCTTAGTCTTAGGATCAAATAATCTATATCTTTTAGACTCTTCACTAACTGCCAACAAAATACAAGGAAAGCTTTTGTCATCTAACTTACATCGTTTAGCTTTTGGAATATGGACGTGAGCAACACAACCCCAAACTCTGAAATGGTTGACTGAAGGTTTCACTCCACTCCATGCTTCTTGTGGAGTCTTTTCTTCACTGCAAGTGTAGGACATCGGTTGAGAAGATAGAATGTCCACAAAACAGCTTTAGTCCAGAAAGATTTTGGTACTTTCTTGGCAGCTAGCATGCAATGAACCATGTTCATCATTGTCCGGTTCTTCCTCTCGGCTATCTCATTTTGGGGAGGAGTGTAGGTAGTGGTAAGTTGGCTCTTGATTTCTTGCTCTTCACAGAAACTCTTGAAGTTGTGTGAAGTGAATTCTCCACCTCGGTCTATCCTCAAGCACTTGATAGCTTCTTCTGCTTTCTTTTCTACCATTTGCTTGAACTTCTTGAAGCAATCC